ATGTATTGTTTCCTCAATTAAAAATTGAATCAGTTCAGCATATAAAACTGTATAGATATTTTTTTTTAAATCGTGCAGATTTGTAAAACAGCAGATTTTCTTTTATGAATAAAAAATAGCTTTGAGGTAGTAATTAAAAATGAAAATGTTACAGTATCGTCTAGTCATCAGTTTCAGCGCGTTATGTATTTACGCGCAGCCATTTTATCAAGCTATAACTCGTAATTACGTGACCTGCTGGACACACCACAAGGATATTTTAGACGTTTGGCCATCGTCTGTAAACTGACACAAAAATTACCGGAAGTTCGTCCGGAAAACATAAGAAATAATCACCGATTGAAAAAACCACGCATAAATATGCAGTATTGCTTAATGCACTTTTTATCTTGCTCAAAATGAGCCCATATCTGAAAAAAAAAATGATATATATCATTCATGAACCGGTCTTTTTTGTAGTCTGACAAACGTAAGAAAATGTTGTATGCAAATATGGCCACATCTCCTCTCTGACTTTTTTCCACTTCCGAAGAGCCAAGGAGACATCTTATATCGATAAACAGTGTTTTTAATGAAACGTAAACCTTGTAATGCAATGAACTTCCAATTTTCACTAATTTTAAACAGAACAAAATGAGAAATAACTTACCATCAACCAAAACCGATATAAAACTGCAGAAAAAAATAATAACAGTTTCTATATTATAACTAAATAAATATAATAAATAATTTTAAAAAAAAACATGATTTCGTTCAATTTGACATCTTGAAAAATCAATTAAAAATGTGAAATTTAAAAAAACTTATTTTGATAATTAATTTGACGATCAAAGATATTTTTTGTATTCCAAACGCAGCTTTTGTTCTTGCAGGTCACTGTAGAGAAGTTCTTTTTAGTGTATTCGAGTTATCTTTCTTTGAACACTAAATCAAAATAGACAAACGGAAACATATGACGGCTACTTCCGACGGGAGAAATTTGTTAAAAATTGTTTGTTCTGATTTTTTTTAAATACAGTTTTATGTTGCTAGTTTTTTGTTTCTATTAGTAGATTGTATACATGTTTATGACAGTCATCCGTAATTTCAACAGTTTTCTGCCGATATGAGTACGAAATCGCGGATGCTTCTTAAGTGCGCGGAAACCGGTAACCCGAGGATATGGATTCAATTTTTTTCTTCTATTTTTTTTCGTGCAAAATATCAATTAAAAAATTCTTATGAAAATACTTGTATGGTTTTTTTTTCCTATCATTTTGCTTCTCTGTGATAAACTCCCTTTTTGTTGACAACCAGCAAGTTGTTTTGTTAATATTCCGTTTTCTAAATATATACCACTGCAATCTCTACCCAGAGTTCAAGGACCGGAACTCAGAACGAGAGCAATGTAGCCGGTAACGTTATGTCAAGAGAATTTACATTTTTAACCGTAACCGGAAAGTATCAAATATTTAAGTATCCTATAGTTAGATATAAGTTTTAAATCTTACAAAAATGTAACGTTTGTTCGAGATTCGGCAAACGAGAACTTGTTTCGAGATCAAGACGGCGGAGACTACAGCGCGTGCGACTGGCGGCCATGTTAAGACAAGTTTTTCAGTTCCATAGGTATTGTGAATAATCTTTATTTTTCTTACATACGTGTTACCTATAGGGAGAGCTTCGCTCTCACGGGGCCTTCGGGCCCGTGAGAGAGCTCCGCCCTCTGTAAATGTCAATGTCGATTTGATTAATTTTTCTATGTAAATAATTAATAAACAATAATGCAAAACGCATTCCTCTTCATGTAGTGTGTTGTAAAAAAAACCGACAATGCTTACAAGACATGCAGTTACATTTAAAATTGAATGTTATTTATGTATGTTGCCATATTCAGCATTTAGTATTGTATTTTGCTTTTAAGTATTCCGTCTTTGCGTATTGCAGAGTTATCTTCTCTTGGGAGCAGGTATTGATTGTTACGTCATTGGTTTGTGTGAGAAAATTACGTCGTTTTCTTAAAAATTGATGACGTTACTCTCACAAACAAGTGACGCAACAATCATACCTGCTCCCAAGAGAAGAAAACTCTGCAATACGCAAAGACGGAATAAAACAAGTGACACATGTTTGTACGTGTCTACCACACCCACACATACATCAAATGTCATTTAACTTCAAAACTCGACACCCATTTACTGACACATATTAAACATTAAAAAACCCATTAAATAAACCAAACTATCTAGTCCACACATTATAAAGGAGAATTATGTATATATAAAATCCTTAAATGTATATTTGCCCTGTTATGGCAAGAAACGAACTGTCCCGTGTACGAGGAAAAGGGAATAGTGCCAGAAATATTGACACTCACATTATCACTGTATTACAGTACCATGGATTATCATCTATATACTACATTACAGCACCTACCGGTAGCATGATAAATTCATTATCTTTGGCTGTCAATATGAGAAGAAGTTGAAAACGACTTGAGAACAACTTGAGAACGGATTTTCCCATTCCCATTGAGATGTGTAACTGTACCAGATATGACGGCATTCGTGGTGTAGGAGCGATTAGAAAATATTTGTCTCTGAATTCTTATTTTAAATTGTATCATCGATTTCTTATTTTCGAAAAGTCACCGTCAATTGTATACGACAATAATATCGTCGTCCTCTCGGAGCTTCGTACTCGACCGGCTAAATTGTGACGCTTTTTGGTAAGATTTTCTTTCATAAGAATGTTTTGTTTATTGTTTTTATTAACAAATTTTTTTATTGGAACCCTGTTGACACTCGTAGCGAATAAAGCGCATTATAATGGTGATGATTTTATTTCTTAAAGGACAGGAGAAAGGGACAGCGATCCCATTGACACCGTATTTCGACAAGATCATTCACAGATTTAGACAGTTCGTTACAATCTGGTATAAGTAGCACCAACACAAACTACCATTACCTTCATTTCATCAAAAACAACAACACAAACTATCATTATCTTCATTTCATCAAAAACAACAACACAAACTACCATTACCTTAATTTCATCAAAAACAACAACACAAACTACCATTACATTCATTTCATCAAAAAAACACTACAAAATACCATTACCTTCATTTCATCAAAAACAACAACACAAACTACCATTACCTTCATTTCATCAAAAACAACAACACAAACTACCATTACATTCATTTCATCAAAAAAACACTACAAACTACCATTACCTTCATTTCATCAAAAACAACAATACAAACTACTATTACCTTCATTTCATCAAAAACAACAACACAAACTACCGGTACCTTCATCAACAATAATAATGATATACAACATTTATATAGCGCCCTATATAATTTGTAAAATTACTCTAACGCGCTTTACAACATATGGATAATAGTAATAGTTATAATTGTGAAAAAAAAACAAAGTCTTACAATCACTTTTATACATTTATATGAATCACCGCCAACCATACCAATTGTCATTACCGCCAAGATAAACAGCTTCATCAACTACTGCTATTGCCAACCTAAAGAATTTAAACAAAATACAAACCACCATTACTGCTATCAAAGGCAATGGCGCAGACTTCCATTACCGTTCACACCCAAAATCAACCATACACACTAACATTTACTGCCAACCTAAACAGCAGCCATTCAAACGACCATAACTACCAAATGTATACAATCATATAAAACGCATTAACCAAAAACAACAGCCAGCAAGTTGTCGTCAACCTCAACTGGAACAGTAACATAGAATGAAACCGTGATAGAAAAACAACAAATGATATAATTTACAACACAAATCAAAATGAATTCAAAAAGTTATATATTTAGAAATAGCACGGATAGATGTTTTATCTGAAAATGAAGGCAAAAAACTATGCATAGATATTTTTACCAAAATAGAAACATTCTGATGTCCAGAGGCGACATCGATGCTTAAAGGTCTCGTTTGGATGATTGTGTGACCATGCTTGGGTATAATTCAGGCGTGTGTGTTCTATAGCAAACTATTTAAAAAAAGGTCACTCACGACCGAACAACATTACGACTAGAAACGGATGGCGAGTAAATTGACTTCCCTCCCAGTAGTCGAACTCTTAATAGTGGACGTACATTAGTGGCCGTGCCATTTGTCAGGTAGACGTTCCTTTGTCCTTCTCCCCGGGGCGGCGCTTCATCTACGTAATATACATTTCAGTCTAAGTCTTCCCATTCCAAATAAGGGACGGTTATATCTCTATCATGGGGACAGCAACATGTTCTCCCTTTATTTCAAGCTTGTAATTCATCATCATCAGCGCGCTATGAAGTGGCCGTTGATGTGTCTGTGTTAGGCTGACCGTCAAACACTCCAGTCGGGAGCTGATACCGGTAGAGTACAGCTGACCATCAGGCCGGTACGCTGTACCGTGAAAGCAGCGTATTTGTTCTCGGCCCGAGCACAGACCTAACTCGTGTCACCATAAAGTATAGTTACTGAAACGCCGCTAGTAATTTGTCCGGAATGAATACGATTCTAGGAGACATATTTGTTTAAGGAAATGCTATCAATTATTGAGGAGAGGACATCGCACTCGATATGTTGCTGACAAAACCAAAATCGGACGACCACACGTAACGTGTACCCCCTCCTCTACCTTTCATGAAAAATCCACCATTTCGGCCAAACTAATGCAGATTAAGAACCTTCCAGGTATAGATGTCTAATTTTCCAGTCTTGCTCCACCTGCCTCAACATCTTCCAAATTGAGCCGGTCCGTCTTAATTTCTTCCCCGTCTGGCCCCGCCTGTGCAGGTTTCTTCCACCTATAGCCCGGTTTGTTCTCATCCGTTTACATGTTATTGCCGTCTGTCCCGATGAATTACAAGCCTAACCCTTCATGTGGAAATATCTCTTATCTAGTACCATGTGTTGCAATATGCCCCCGCCATCTAGTCCCATCTCTCTCTCTCTCTCTCTTGGTAATTTTACAGAACCTGTGGGTCAGTTTGACTGAGTGTATAACTGACCACGACAACACAATCTCACCATGCCATTAGCGGTCATTGCAAAATCAAGCCAAAATACTAAGCATAGCATAAATGTACGAGGGACCGATAGCTTTCAAGATGTGTCAGAGGTAGAACCTTTCGAAATGATAGCCGCAAACAGCATGGAACACACCGGTGATTTGATCTGACCTATGCGTTGAGTATTTGACGAAATTTTCACAAATCACTAATAAACAGTTAAGATGGACATCGTTCTAACTTGCCAACATAATAGATACCGGGAACATCTACATAAGGCGAACCGACTTCGAACTGACCAATGCTGCTTGGTCAACTTTCCAGCTCCACATCTACTCAAATTAACAACTGACCAATCAAACAACACCATCGAAATTTATAAATTGGACCACTGCTGGACATTACTAGGTAAGTTATAAATAGCCAATTCATCAGGTATCGTTTCAGTCTTTCACGAAACCACTAGTGGTCAAGATCCATAGAGTTACAATTCAATATAACAAATATAAAGTACAATATATCATTGGCCAAACCCCAATCAAATCGGATCGGATCGTGGCCCAAAAAAAAATGACAAACAAATTGAGTCTCTGACGTCAATCTTAAACTTCTTTTCCATAACCACATTCTTCTCTTTGAACGGCGCCACAAATCTGCAATGAAATGAATTAATAACAATATTTCATGTAAACATAATGCACAATCTGTCCGTTCTCCACTGCAAAATATGTTGCCATGCATTGTAGTTTTGGCATTAAGGAAAATTAATCAAAAATATATGTATGAAATTGATTATTCAAAATCAAAATCATTTTTTTTTAAATTGGGGAGGAACCTACCTAACGAGGAGTCAGGGAGGAGGAGCTAGTGAGGCAGCAACTTAGCGAGGGACATAGTACCTAAAGAGGGATATAGTACCAACTTAGGGAGGGACATGGTACCTAGAGAGGGATATAGTACCAACATAGGGAGGGACATGGTACCTAGAGAGGGATATAGTACCAACTTAGCGAGGGATATGGTACCTAGAGAGGGATATAGTACCAACTTAGCGAGGGATATGGTACCTAGAGAGGGATATAGTACCAACTTAGGGAGGGACATGGTACCTAGAGAGGGATATAGTACCAACATAGGGAGGGACATGCCAGAAAGGGATATAGTACCAACTAAGGGAGGGACATGGTGCCTAGAGAGGGATATAGTACCAACATAGGGAGGGACATGCCAGAAAGGGATATAGGACCAACTTAGCGAGGGATATGGTACCTAGAGAGGGATAAAGTACCAACATAGGGAGGAGGATGCCAGAAAGGGATATAGTACTAACTAAGGGAGGGACATGGTACCTAGAGAAGGATATAGCACCAACTTAGGGAGGGACATGCTATGTAGAGAAGGATATAGTACCAGCTTAGCGAGGGACATGGTACATTGAGAGGGATATAGTACCAACATAGGGAGGAGGATGCCAGAAAGGGATATAGGACCAACTAAGGGAGGGACATGGTGCCTAGAGAGGGATATAGCACCAACTTAGGGAGGGACATGCTACCTAGAGAGGGATATAGCACCAACTTAGGGAGGGACATGCTACCTAGAGAAGGATATAGCACCAACTTAGGGAGGGACATGCCAGAAAGGGATATAGTACCAACTAAGGGAGGGACATGCTATCTAGAGAAGGATATAGTACCAACTTAGCGAGGGACATGGTACATAGAGAGGGATATAGTACCAACTTAGGGAGGGACATTCTATCTAGAGAGGGATATAGTACCAACGTAGCGAGGGATATGGTACCTAGAGAGGGATATAGTACCTACCTAGCAAGGGAGCAAGGACCTAGTCGGAGACAGTGTTACTAGAAAGGGGCAGAGAACTTAGGGAGGGACAGTTTACCTAGAGAGGAAGAGTATCTACCTAGCAAGGGTCATAGGACATAGTGAGTGACAGTGTTCCTAGCGAGGGACAGTGTACTTAGTAGGGACATAGAACCAACCTATCAAGGGATAGAGTTCATAGGGAGGGATATAGTACCAATTTAGCAAGGGATCTAAGGAGGGATATAACACCTATCAAGCAGGGGAGATAGTACCAGTTGAGGGACAGAGTACATACCTAGCGAGGGACAGGGTACCAGTAGTTGATCTGACGCTGGATGCACACTGGGAACAATATCATATGCTCCTCCTCAAAATGCTGGACGAACTTCCTCTTCCAGTACAGGTCATTCCATGGCAGCTCTATGGTTAGTACCACGGACAACTCTAGTCCATAGTAAAACAACATCATGGCGTTTGACCTTTTTGCGAAGTTCGCCTTGTCTTTCTTACGAGTACCAGAGGGCTTCCACAAGGATCTCCTTTCAACCTGACATGGGGCAGTACCGCAGTGACGGCAGAGGGAAGGGCCTGCACAAACAAATATTTAATATGCCAAGACAAATTTTCGAAATCCACGGTTAAGTTTTAACACACAAAACATTACTTTCTATGCATCTTGAGATTTTATCAGAACGGAACTCGGGACTAACAGTTACCTATATGACTGGATACAGACACACAAATCTGACAAATTACAAGCCTTATAGAAAGTGGTTCCCGTTCTTTAAACATACTCTGAGATGAAAGTCTGTCTAGATTACAATTACACTGTATGTTACCAAACAATTCACTTTAATATTTAATCAAAACATTGCTCTGAGAACACAGGTATGCAAGATTCTGAAATGTTTTCCAGGCTAGCAAACTTGTATCACCCGTTATGGTAGGGTTTGCAACACTAGATTCATAAAAATGTACATTAATTTCGAAAACGTCTTAATTACAAGGTAAACAGAACACTAGAAATGAAAGTGTGAAAACTGATACTTTCATTAGACTGCAGCTTTATTCAATAGTTCAACCTAGGATGGTCACTTACGAGCTCTCCATTCTTGGAACATTGACACGGCTGCTGACCATTTCTCTTTGACGATTTGCCCGATCGACGGCGCATAGCCCAGCAGCAGGGTAAGAAGCACACACATCAGGTTATTGAATACCTCGTTTCCAATTCGCTAAAACAAATCAAATCATTTTTATTTTCAGGGAATTGTACTATAATACACACATTCAATGTTCAAGACCCGCAAATTCCTCAGATACGGACAATGGAGATCCGTTTTTGTTATAACTCTACGCTAACATAGCATAGCTGATGGCTAATATTATTGCGAAATACACACAAGAAAATCATACGAAACGAAATGCACACGCGTAAAATATACAAGGAATTTAATAAATTTATGAGAAGTAGAATCAGTTAAACATCATCACAAACATAAGCTTACTTTACTATTAGTAAAGTAAAAACTGTTGACGTGTTCATGACAGTCATTAACATTAAAAACCATGTAACAGTCCTTACCCATGTCAGATCGGTAACCGTTGGACAGACTTTCTCAATTTCACTTGCGGTGAAATAATAAAACAATCTTTTGGCATATCCTGGCTCGGGTTCCACGCTACAGAGTTAAGATTATAAAGTTAAGAGTAAATATTTCTAAACATTCTACGGCAACACAATCGTAAACTTGAAAAGGTTATTGACGTTCATTTGAGCTCCGCGATATCTTTGCGTAATGTCAAGTCAAAGAATAACATATACGATCCAATCTTACCATGTCTGGTCCAAACTTACCATGCAAAGTCCCGATAAACAGCAGGCCCTTGGTGCATGGTGTACATCATTACCACACATATCAAGAATAACTTAATATTCATTGTGGTAATCGAAGATTTAAACAAAATAAGTAAATATCAGGGGAGAGACAGGTCATCTCCGCCTTCGCCGATTGCTAAGCAGCTTAGCAACAAGTATGTGACGTCACAAGTGGGTATCACTATTTACTGATCATGACGTCATACTATTGTCTTGTACCTACTAAGTGCAGGGTGCCAAAATGTCTTCTGTTATGAATCGATCCCTGAACTAGCGGCAGTGAGTGCTTCCAGTAGGAGTCGAATTCGGGACTAATAGCGACAGGATATGTTTACCTTAGAATTCCACTGAAATTCGAACACATGACAAGCAACACTTGGGCCCGTATTCATGAAACGGCTCTCATGCTCAAGCATGGACTATGTGCTCATCAAACCAGTTTTCCTGTTAACTCACTTAAGTAATATAAACGATCAAAAAGTCAAAATAAAATTTGGAAACAGTATACGGCCTTCAATTTTGTTCCAAATCAGCGACAAATAAGATTACTCTTACTGATTTATAACCGGAACAAGAAATTAGACTTGAGCACAAAATTCGTGCTTGAGCATGAGAACGGTATATAAATACGGGCCCGCGGTATGTCATCCTCGATAGCAAGGAGTTACGCTCACTTTCGCTATCTACATCCATGGAATATGTCATAGCAAAATCGAAGGCTCAATATGCAGCACCTTGTGGATGAGACGAGAAGACTAGTTTGGTCCTTTGATGTACAGCAAAGGAATCTCGCGGTCGGGTAACGGTAAAAACTGACAGGCTTTGAAGTCGGGCGTGCCTCCTTTGTAATCTTCAAATGAAAAGTATCAGCCTAGTGATTGGTGAGGTTTTTTTTACCTGACCCCAATCAAGTAGCTAGCCGTTTGCCTTCAATTTTGCTATGACATATTCCAGGGGTGCAGAGAGCGAAAGTGAGCGTAACCCCTGGATATCGAGGATGACGGTATGTGTTTCCGTCAGAAAACACAACGAAAATAGAGTAGATGTACTTCTGCGATGTAGCCGGGATCAAATGTGTGTTTCCTAAAATATTGTTCTATTAGGAGTTTAAATCTGAACAAGCGACACAGGTCTTCCGCAGTATGTCAAACCCATACACAAATTGAAATCAAATATAGATATGCAGTTATCCCCCTTTGACCTGGTCGCCGGTAACGAAAAGTACTACGGCGAATATTTTTCGTACCCTACTGTATTGTACGTGCCAAATTGAACCATGATGCTAATGGGACCTAAGTGAATTCCTCGCGATGTCCCATAAGGATGGGGATGTTCAAAAAGTAACCACCCATACATTTTAATTTGACCCCTGTTGACGGTTAATTTCATTTTGCTTAGCACTAATTAAAAACTAAAATTGAACTCACATTCTTAAGTGCCGTCCACTCGTTCGCCAGTCTTTTTTTCGGCAGACCCGATAAAACGTTTTAGGATTCCCACCGTTTTTTGGATTCTCAAGTACAAAGTAGACTGAAAGCATATTTGTTTTGTAAATAGCTAACACTATTAGAGCCTCTTTAAATTTTATTTTTTTCTTGAAACACAAGCCAAAGCAATCGGGAACCGTCGGCACTTACCGTAAACGTCCATTTTCTCATTTACGGAAAGTGCCGACGGTTTCCAATTGAAACGAAAGGTGTAGCATCCTTAAAGGTATCCGGGAATTTAGCTATTTGAGCAGCAAAGCTTATACGAAAAACGTTGAAAGGGATCATCTGTATGTCGTCCGTGTTTGGTAACATTGCACGTTAAGTATTTATGAATAATGAACCATTTCACCTTTCTTAGTCATTAAACTTTGACACATTTATTCCCTGTGTATTTGTATATTTCAATTTGTCTGTCTACCGCTTCGTCTGTCTGCAGTTCCCTTTCAGTTTGTCTCCCTTTATCTTCAGTTTTATTTGAGTACTAAAATTGATTTCTACAATAAACCGACAATTGTCATAAGGAAAGAAGTCTCGTGCTATCTACATGAGAGTTTGGCAAAGTCAAAAAGAATGGATTAGATTTCGACGGTCTCGGGGATGGCGTGCAACGTTTACATGCTGAAGTGGGAGATATTTGAGGAAGCAATGAAGAATGAAGTTTGTCTTGTCATTAACTGAACTATGTAGAGTTCAGCCCTGGACAAAATACGGCCATTCATGGAAAATCGAAATGTTTATACACGATCTGAACGTTACTCTCATGTGCATTGCGTCAGTCTGAGACAAGGTAGAGAACAGAAGTTTATTCTGACTTTAATTAATTGCACACGATGTATTATATTAGATGCAGCGATGAAGTAACTGAAACACACTTTGAATCTAGCTTAGTATACGCCTCGTGCCTAGGAGTACCGATAGCGATGTCTTTCGGGATCCCTCGGGAGACAGTTGTAGTCAGCAATGCTCGCAATGAGACGCATACACGCATGCGCTTGCGGCCGACATAGACACTACAGAACATTGTGACCTTTATTCCACGAGTTGTGATTTCAACTAAAGTACTCATGCACAAGTACAAAGTACACTCCAATGGCTAGGTATTGTACAAGTATAAGAGAAAATGAATACTAAATAACAATTAACAAACTGAAATGTAAGAAAGTACCATTCCCGGACGTACATCCGCTCATAACTACGTGACATGGTTGGCGTTGATTTCGAGTTTGACCTTTGACCTGGAAGCAATAGTGTTGATGATCTAAACAACTTTGTAGTTTAAAATGTGTTGCTCCTACGGTAGTGATTATATATGAAATAACAGTGAATAGTGGATGGGACATATTTTGACAGCCAATAGTGTCATTTGAAACTGAATGCATATATATTCGTTTATTATTATTTATGAAGGACTTTTTTGGAAAACAACAAAATGTCGCATAAATTGAAACTTTAATGTATATGTATTGTCTGTTGTCGTCTGAATGTCTACGACAATATCATATAACAACCTTGACCTAAAAACCATAACTTAATCACGTCTGAGACTATTGCTCTAGCAAGTGTACTTACATTGAATAAGCATATTTTCTCATCAAATTTTGTCTCCACTCCATCATTACTAAGTGTACCCAATGAAGATTGATGGTAGATCTGCACCAGGAGATTTCCCCCCAGACGGCGCTATTTGTATTACCTCAGCTGTATACGCTACTACTACCTCATAAAGGTGGCTACACCAACATAATTCCAGCAACCTACGCCATTGGAGTCCATTCAGTCGACGACGTCGGACTTCTATCCTGGTGGTACATCAGCGCTAAGAACTAGAAGATCCTGCTACTCCACTCCTTCTATTACATTTCAACACTCTACACAGTTATAACATCCCATAAATTCACACCTTTTATTTGACTAAATGTATGGAATTTAGTCATGTTTGTCATGCATACAACTATATATAACTAACATTGACCTGGCGCCCCCTTGGCACGCTGTAGACTTTTCTATCCTACCTGCACTTTGTTTTTAGTGGAGTTTCCCGTGGCAACCTTTGTCAAACGGTCCTGGCAGATTCTAGGTCTACTTACTACAATATCTGTGGGTCGCGCTGGTTAAAGTTCGAAAAACAGTCTGCCAAAATATATATTTCCATAGAAAACATCGTTTGCTATTCCAACATTTATTTCATGAACGACGGGAATGCCAAAGTTATTTCGAGACATCCGTGTCAGAACTTGTTTGAGACATCGCTGTCTCCTAACACATAGTTGATTATCCGACTTGGTTTAAGGTGGCTCCACACTTTCGTAATTAACCAGAAAAATTCGTTGAAACTTTCATATAATGGTTATGCAACTATGTAGAGTTGATTTTATGAAAATCTAAACACTCCGATAGTTTGGGGTCTTTTTTGGAAAAAATACCAAAAAAATGAATTTTCGTCAATTATAATATTTTCCGGGGTTTTTTTGTGTGTGACATTGTTCGGAACAATAACAACAATAATAAAATGAAAAGAAGCATTTCTAATTAACCCTACAAATATTTTATTTATCGCAAAATATGTAACACATGTTACACAAAGTGTTTTTTATTGAATTTGTACGGATAAAAGTGATTATCTACAAGCTAAAAGCCAACAGGACACAAAGATCTATACATATAGAATGGGAAATTGAACAAAATATACACAATGGCTTTATAATTAATTTATTTTACATTTTACAATCACTTCGATCCGGGTAAGAGTTATCTTCCTTGAAAAAAATCGGAACTTTTTGCAGAGGGGTGACATTTACACAATGACAGTTGTCCCTGTTTACATATAACAAAAATGATGGAAATAAATCAAAAATATGATAT